TTGTAACCTTACACTATAATTTGTAAATTTATGTTTCAGTTTGTAACTTTACACTGCAGTTTGTAACCTTACACTATAATTTGTACATTTATGTTTCTGTTAGTAACTTTACACAGCAGTTTGTAACTTTACACTATGGTTTGTAACTTTGTACAGTAGTTTGCAACTATGTTTTGGTTTTGTAACTTTACACTGCAGTTTTTACGTTTACGATATGTTTATAACTTTACGCTACAATTTGTAAATTTATGTTACAGCTAGTTTCTTTATGCTACAGTTTGGGATTTTATGCTATGGTTTGTAACTTTACGCAACAGTTTGTAACTCTTTGTTTTGGTTTGTAACTTTACGCTATGGTTTGTAACTTTACACTACAGTTTGTAAATTTATGTTTCAGTTTGTAACTTCACACTACGGTTTGTGACTTTATACTATAATTTGTTACTTTAAGCTGCAGTATGTAACTTCATGCTACAGTTCGTAACTTTACGGTGTGGTTTGTTTCTTTACATTACAGTTTTTGAAATTACGCTACAGTTTGTAACTTTACGCAACATTTGTAACTTTATATCACGGTTTGTAACTTTATGTCATGGTTTGTACATTTATGGTATGGTTTGTAACTTTATGCTACAATTTGTTAATTTATGCAATGGTTAGTTTCTTTATGCTACAGTTTGTAACTTTATGCTATGGTTTGTAAGTTTAGGCTACTGTTTGTGACTTTACGCTATAAATTATATATTATGATCTATTATGATCTATTATGATCTATTATGATCTATAACGTCAAGCTATTGTCTGTACCTAAATTCTATGATCCCAGAATTTACGCTACAGTCTGTACCTTCATGTTACGGTCAATACCTTCACACCACAGTCTGTAATGTTACACTAGAGTCATAAAAACTGTCTTCTGTAACTTTACGCCACAGTTGCCCAGTGGACAACAAAGGACAGGAACTGATTATAAATTCTGACCCAGATGGGCCTTAAAGAGAAATAACTCAGACTTTGTCCTGGTTCATCGATGGTTTCTGTAATGTAGCATCCAGGATGAGATGTTTGAAGGCTGTGGATCAGACATGGATGGAAGAAGGGTTCTGCTGAGAATCTGAATTCAATTCAGTTTTCAATTCAGTTTATTTCTAAAGCTCCAAGTCACAACATAAGTCGTCTCAGGGACTGAACAGAAACATTCAAATATAAAAATAATAATTGAACATTATTTATGTGAGGAGCAGACTACTTTGAGTTTAACTCCATCACAGAACTCTCATCTTGAACAAGCATGAAGGCGACAGTGGAAAGAAACATTTCCCTAATGAGGAAGAAACCTATAGCCGGGCTATAGCCAGGAACCAGGCTCAGGAAAAGCAGCCATCTGCCTCAACCAGCTGGGTTTGGTAGGAACAGATACACAATGGCAGGGCAAGAATCACATGTTAAGATAGAAATAGTATCAAAGAAACTGGTCCATATGACATGATTTAACCTTTGTTGTTGTTGAATTTTAGCAAATCATTTAATGAAATTAGGTTAATTTGTTCTCTAATAGTCTAAGCCTAGGTACAGAAGCATAACAAGCCGACCCTAACTATAGGATTTATCAAAAAGGAAAGTCTTAATCCCAGTCTTAAAACTGGACAATGTGTCAGCCTCACGGACAGAAACTGGAAGTTGGTTCCACAAGAGAAGAGCCTGAGAACTGGGAGATCTTCCTCCCATTCTGCTTTTGGAAACTCTAGGAACCACAAGTAAACCTGCAGCCTGAGAGTGAAGTGCCCTGTTAGGAAAATATGGAACAATAAGATCTGTAATATTAGATGGAGCTAGGTTGAATGGGATGGATTCTAATACAGAATTAATTGTAAAGCCCTGATGTTCCTCCAAAGCTGAACCTGAAAGTTGAAGATATTTGAAATGTTTGAAACTATAAACTGACATCTGAACCGTGGATGTTCAGCAGTCAGAACTCGGCTGCTCTCATCACAGTGCAGACGGAATCCTGTGGTGAAGAAAGGCCTGGAACGCATAGCTCAGGCTCTGAAGGTCCAGGTTTTTTTCATTCGACATTTATTTCTACAGGTTAGTCCCATTGAGCCTCGGGGACTCATTTACAAGAGAGACCTGATTTAACAAAGAATGATGACAACAGAGGACAACAACAACAACAACAACAACAACACCAATAGACAGTTATAAAAGAGGCGTACAGATTTTTTTAAACAAGTTAAAATAAAATGGCAACCAAAAGGAAATGCAACAACAAAAAACAAAACATCTAGAATGTAAGGCGGTGTAGAAACTACAAACAGGAAGATGTCTGCTTTAGTTGTTGCCAGGAACTTAACACATGTTTGAAGCCACAGGTCAAGGTCGAGAGCTTCCAATGATCCTTATTCTGAAGGTCCAGGTTCCAATGGTCCTGGTTCTGAAGGTCCTGGTTCTAATGGTCCTGGTTCTGAAGGTCCTGGTTCTAATGGTCCTGGTCCTGAAAGTCCTGGTTCTAATGGTCCTGGTTCTGAAGGTCCTGGTTCCAGTGGTCCTGGTTCTAATGGTCCTGGTTCTGAAGGTCCTGGTTCCAATGGTCCTGGTTCTGAAGGTCCTGGTTCTGAAGGTCCTGGTTCTGAAAGTCCTCGTTCTAATGGTCCTGGTTCTGAAGGTCCTGGTTCCAGTGGTCCTGGTTCTGAAGGTCCTGGTTCTAATGGTCCTGGTCCTGAAGGTCCTGGTTCCAATGGTCCTGGTTCTGAAGGTCCTGGTTCTGAAAGTCCTTGTTCTAATGGTCCTGGTTCTGAAGGTCCTGGTTCCAGTGGTCCTGGTTCCAGTGGTCCTGGTTCTGAAGGTCCTGGTTCTAATGGTCCTGGTTCTGAAGGTCCTGGTTCCAATGGTCGTGGTTCTGAAGGTGCTGGTTCTTTAAGCCCAAGTTCTGAAGGTCCAGGTTCTGAAGGTTCTGGTTTTGATCGTCCATGGTTCTGTGTGTGGTTGTGATGCTTCCACAGAACCCAGTTGTCTCACTGGTGGGACCCAGAGCAGCACACACACCTGCTCTGCCTCTGCCTGATTGGCCTGTCTCCTCCTCCTCCTCCTCCTCCTCCTCCTCCTCCATCCTTCCTTCTCTCTCTCTCCTTTTTTTGACGAGGCCCCGCCCTCCACTGTGATGTCAGGGACTTGGAGGAAGACCCGTGGGGTTTTTGGGTTTTGGCGTCCAGTCCTGTGGGGCCGCAGGGCTGAGAGTTCCTCTTGCATCCCGGGCCGCCTCTCCTCCTCTCTTTGGGGAAAAGAAAAAAGACTTTGTGCTGGTGTTCGATTCCGGAGCCGACTCGGCTTTTCTTCTGCTTTTCTCTGAGGATTTTGTTTCCTTTTCCTCCTCCTCGTTCCTTCCTTTCTGCCTCTGTGGGTTTCAACATGTCGGCTGACTGACAGTTTGTAAAAAAACTTCTACACCCGTGTTTTTGGTCGTTTGTTCACAGAAAAGTTGAAATAAAGCAGAAAGACATAAACAAAGTTCATTAAACCCGAGCGTTGGTCACATTTGATCACTTTTTTGTTTTTCCTTTTGCTCTTGGTCCCGTTCACATCCTCACATTTTTTGGAGACAAGTGGACCAGCCTGAAGCTCTGGTTTGTCCCGCAGACTTCCTGTCTCTCTGCTGGACTTCGGCTCTTCTTCTTCTGGTGTGTTTGTGGTGAAGATGTTCGGGATCCAGGACAACCTGCCCCGGGGGGCCAGCATGAAGGAGGAGCCGCTGGCCGTTCGCTCCTGGATGCACTCGGCCGGCGTGGTGGACGCCAACACGGCTGCTCAGAGGTAAATGCTGGCGCTCCCAGGGGATTCTGGGAGCTGTAGTGTCTGCGCTCGGCTGCGCTCAGATCAGTTCGGCTGTTACATTCCTGCTGTCAAAAGAAAAATTCAAGTGATGAAAAAATTATTTTACTCATTACAGAATAATAATTATTTTTATTTTTTTATTTATTTGCAGGTAGAGAAAAAAATATAAAAAACATTATTTTTAAATTTACACATTTATTTCAGCAAATTTTAGAAACTGACATGTTTTTTTTTTAGATTTCTGTAACAAAGTAAAAAAACAACCTTTTTTCAGTTTAAAAACAGAGCCGAGACGTTCTTCTCTTCCTTCTTTACCTTGTTTTCGCTCATCGAGTCCAAACCGTAGAACTCAAATATAAAGTCCGGCTTCTCCCAAAAACTACTGAAACTGTTCGAAGGTGCAGATTCTGCCAAGAGCACTTTGTAAATCTTGTTTCTTCTGCAGCTCGGACTTGAATCCAGCGACACACTGCAACAACCATCGCGTTCGGGTCACCACGGGTCCGAGCTGCAGAGCTCAGAACATCTGCAGAACATCTGCAGAACATCTGTCCACTCCATGCTGTGGTTCTCTCAGGTTGAAATGCTGCAGATGTGTGGAACGTTTATAAAACTATAAATGTTTTACATTTTTGCCATCACGTCCATCTGAGCTTTAAAATAAATTCTAATTTATGTCAAGAAAATTAAACAATTTCATAAAAGAAAACAAACTTATAAAAATGATCTTTAGATTTAATAAAAAAATAACTGTAGATGTTTTTACAAATAAAATCTGGTGTAAATATGAAACACTTCATGTTTATTTGTTTCATTATTAGTAACTACTTTTATTTCTTACAGCAACATAAAATAAAAAGTCAACTTTGTTAAGATTTTTCCTCAAATTACTATTATTTATTTATTATATGTATATTTATTTATATATTTTACACACACACACACACTCGTAAAAATTATATTTAAATTGAACATTAATCTCTTCATGCAGAAAAATTATTCTGATGAATTAGTTTAACTTGACAAAAACAAAACAACCTGATTATTACACAATATTTCATAAAGTTCTGGTTAAAGTGCATGAAATAATAAGTTGAAAAGAGTTTGGTTCTAAAAGATTTGTTTTAAAATATTTTTTATAAATAATAATAATATTAATAAAATAATAACAAAAAATATATAATTAACAATTAAAACAACAACAACAATAATACAAAAAAGAAAAAATATTGTATAACTTTTTATAACTGTTTATTGTTGTTGCTGTTGTTCATTGTTGTCATCATTCTTTGTTAAACCAGGTCTCTCTTGTAAAAGAGTCCTCGAGGCTCAATGGGATTTACCTGTAGAAATAAAGGTTGAATGAATAATAATAATATCAATAATAATAATGTAATTAACAATAACAATAAAAATAATATCATTAACAACAATAATAATAATACTATCATTAATAATAATTCTGTCATTAACAATAAAAATAATATTAATAATAACAATAAAAATAATGATATCATTAACAATAACAATAATAACAACAACAATAATATAATTATTAATAATGATATAATAATAATAACAATAATAATAATATCATTAATAATAACTATAAAAATAATGCTATCATTAACAATAACAATAATAATATGATTATTAATGATATAATAATAATAATATAATAATATAAATAATAATAACAATATCATTAATAATAACAATAAAAATAATGCTATCATTAACAATAACAATATAATTATTACTGATGATGATATAATAATATCAATAATAGTAATGAATGGCTGGTTCAGATGTTGTGTATTTGTGTTTGCCGCAGCTGTTTCAGTGTAAAACATGAACGCTGTCTGCAGAGAGAGCAGCAGATTCAGCGTGGAGGTCGAAGCTGCAGTTTGACTTCTTCTCCATGAATATTAATCAGTCGTGACCGGAGCCTGTGAGTCCGTGCTCAGGGTGAAGTTTCCGTGTCTTTTGGCCTGAAGCTGCTCAAGCTTTCTTCCCTCCTTTGTTTATGGCTTTATCTTCACACACAAACATTTACAGGTTTCTTCCTGTGGCACAAACAGCCGCCCGTCACCGTCTCAGAGGAGCTCTCGATTCACGCTTTGCAGGGAAGACCTTCATTACATCCCGAGACAAACTCAAGTTTTTTCACAATCTGAAGGCTTAAAGAGGTTTCAGCTTGTTTCATGGGATGTTTTCCTGTTTGGAACAAACCAGTACAGATTTTAGACAATGATCCCCAGCAGAGGAGTGAGGTCTTTTCAGGATGGAAGCACAAATTGAATCCACCTAAAAGAAAGAAACCTTCTAAACCCACATTTCGTTTTTCTGGTGCTCCTTTGTGGACCTCAGTAAGAAATGTTGGCTCATGTCCACAAAGCAGAGCAGAAATATCTTATGTTCACATGAGGTTAGCGTTCTGCAGAGGTCATGACCTCAGTGTGTTTCCTGCTCATCAGTGTGTCTCTGTTGTTTCAGCGGGGTGGGGTTAGCCCGAGCTCACTTTGAGAAGCAGCCACCGTCCAACCTAAGGAAATCCAACTTCTTCCACTTTGTCCTGGCGCTGTACGATCGGCAGGGCCAGCCCGTCGAGATCGAACGCACTGCCTACGTTGACTTTGTGGAGAAAGAAAAGGTATGACACACAAAGGAGCAGGGAGGAGCCGCTGTGCAAACCAAACACACCCACTGAACGCCACAGACACTTGATAAAGTCATCCCGTCAGGTTGAAAAAAACTTGTGATGTTTCTGCAATTAAAAATAAATCCAATATATTTTGTATTTGTGCCTCCAAGAAGCTGCAGCTCAACACCTGTAAGAACTATTATCAAAGAAACAAAAACTCTTGGATCATAAGATGGAATCAAAAGGTGCATTTGTAACGGGTGGATTGGGCTCTGAAGGAAGGATGCAGGGCAGAACCTAATGGGGAGTTTATGGGAGTATTAGAAATGGTTCTGACAAAATTCTTAAAATTCTGCCAGTTTTTTAGGATTTGTCTGGAACGGTGGACCAACAAAAACAGAAAAATAAACTAGTGTCCTGTTTTACCCCACATGACGTTCTGACGGTCGTTTTCGGTTCTGCGTCAACTGTCAGTCAACTTTCTTATTTTCATACAAACGTGACATGAAGGGCTGAAAGACTCCTCTCTGTCAGCTCGCCAATATTCCATTTTAAGCAATCTTCCATTTTAAGCAATCTTCCATCTTAGACCTGTGTCTAACTAATATGCCTCACAAATTCCCTGGTACAGGTGTATTCGCCGACATTTTGAGTGATCATTGTGTGACAGCGGCTTTGAGAGATATTAAACTTCCACCTTCTAAGCCCAGATTAATTCAAAAAAGGATCTGAAACGTTTTTGTGAACAGTCATTCCTCTGGGATCTGTCTCACTTTGACTGGCATCGTATTCTGTTAACTGATGACGTGAACTCTGCTTGGAACTATTTTCATAATAATTTCATTTATTTCCTGAACAAACATGCTCCTTTTCGTCAGTTCAGAATAAAGGGACGAGACAGCCCCTGGTTTACTCCAGAGCTAGCTGACCTCCTGCACAGGAGAGATCATCTTTGGGCTGCAGCGAGAAAATCTGACTCAGACACTGATTGGTTGAGTTTTCAACAGATGAGAAATAAATGCACAACTGCTGTCAAAGCAGCAAAACACAACTATTTCTTATCTCAGACCTCCAAAAATCTAAATGACCCTAACAGATTCTGGAAAACCATCAAATCTCTCTCAGGCACCCCCCAATCATCTGACCTCCCATCACAACTTCTCGTTAACTCTGTTCCTGTGTCAAATAAGCACGAGATCCTGAACTGTCTCAACAAACATTTTGTTGCTTCTAGTTCTTTATTTGACACAGTTACTAATGGAAGATCAGCCACTTCACTTAATAACCAAACTTCTACAAATCAAATCCCTCCTACAAGTCAATCCTCAGTTAATCACAGCTTCTCTTTTTCTCCATTCTCAGTCAGTGAGGTCAATAAACTGTTAAAAGATCTTGATCCTAAAAAATCTGCAGGTCCAGATGAACTTCCACCTTATTTCTTAAGGCTGGCTGCTCATATCATCACAGTCCCTGTGACCCACATCTTCAATCTCTCCATGAGACAAAACTCCATCCAGACACTTGAAAACAGCCTTTGTTCTTCTTTGCTGAAGGGAGGTGACCCCACCTCACTGAACAACTATGGACCAATCTCTAAACTCTGCATTTTAGCCAAGGTTCTAGAAAAACTGATAAACTCTCAAATCAAAAATGACCTGGACTCATTTAACATCTTACCTCCACATCAATCTGGTTTCAGGAAACAACACAACCACTGCTTCACTGAAGGTTCTTAATGACGTTGTTGAAGCACTGGATGCTAAGGATTATTGTGCTGCACTTTTCTTAGACCTGTCTAAAGATTCTGACACTGTGGATCAGAACATCTTGTGTCAGAAGATCTCAGAACTGGTTTTTCAGATCACACCGTTGGTTGGTTCTCTAACTATCTCTCAGACCGGAGGCAATGTGTTCAACATAACGGTGCTTCCTCCAGTTATTTAAAGGTCAACAATGGTGTACCACAAGGCTCAGTCTTAGGACCCACCCTCTTTACAATCTACATACATAATGTAGGTAAAAACATCCCTAATGCATCCATACATTTCTATGCTGATGACACAATTGTTTATTGTCGAGCTAAAACTGTTGCTAAGGCTTTCCAGCTTTTGAAATCTGCATCAACAACATCCAGTCAGATTTGTTCCACCTCAAACTTGTCCTAAATGCTGACAAAACCAAAGGGATGCTTTTTTAAACAGGAAGTTGGTCCCAGCAGTTCTTTCTCCGATTTTATCCTCAAATGGTGTCCACATTGAGTTTGTTGATTCCTATAAATATTTGGGTATCTTGATCGACTCACAACTCTCTTTTAAGCTCCATGTGGAAAACTTGGTAAAGAAACTGAAAGTTAAACTGGGTTTGTTTTTCAGAAACAGATCCTGTCTAACCCTGAATGTTAGGAAACACCTTGTATCTGTGACTTTCCTTCCCTCAATTGATCACGGTGACATTATTTACATGAACGCTCCTACAAGAACCCTGCAGATGTTGGATGCTGCAGATGTTGGATGCTGTCTATCATGGTGCACTAAGATTCATAACTGGCTTAACTACCGTACCCACCACTGCACCCAGTATTCACTGGTTAACTGGTCACCATTAACTTCACACAGACTCTCTCACTGGTACATCTTCATCTTTAAATCACTTCCTGGTCTGCTGCCTTCATACATCTCCTCCTACATGTCTCTGTGTGAGTGCAGCTACAGCGTGCGCTCTCAGGACATCATTACCTGCAGTGTTCCCTCAATGAGGACTGAACTAGACAAAAGGACCTTCTCCTACTCCGCTCCTGTTTCCTGGAATATCTTGTAAAAACATCTGAAGCTCTCGTCCTTGACCTCTCTAAGTGGCTTCAAAATATCTGTTAAGTTCCTGGAACCAACATAGACATGTTCCTGTTTTTAGTTTTTTACATTCACCTTATAATCTAGCTGTTTTTGCTATTTTTTCCATCTTATTTTAATTTGTGGAAAAAAAATCTGTACTCCTCTTTCATAATTGTCTATTCTTGTCATCATTCTTTGTTGAAATCAGGTTTCTCTTGTAAATGAGTCCGTGAGGGTCAATGGGATTAATCTGTCTAAATGAAGGTTGAATGAAATATTACAGAAGGCTTTACCGTCACAATTTATTTGGAGGGTTTTTACTTCAGTTTGAATCAAAGGGATACACTACTTCCTGGGACACTGATTCCCCGATCAGACCAGGCTTTATAAATCTAACGCATTCTTCTTCGGTGGTTTCAGGAGCCGAGTGGAGAGAAGACCAACAATGGAATTCATTACAAACTGCAGCTTCTCTACAGCAATGGTGGGTGCACTTGTTTAATGACACAGAGTGGCTGAAAGACTCCTGATGGCCCAGCATCTGTAAAAATAACTGCTGCTGGTTTGTGTGCAGGCGTCAGAACCGAGCAGGACCTGTACGTCCGACTCATTGACTCAATGACCAAACAGGTGACGTAGCTTCAGTGTCTGAGGAATTTAAAGCATGTTGTTTGTCATTCAATCACAGTCAGATTGTTGATAGTCCCACTCGTCCTAATTCTAAATGTCCTGGCAATTCGTCTCTTTTACATCTCTTTATCACAAATATGCCTCATAAGTACACTGGGTTGGGTACTTTTGCTCACAAGGAGAACCTCAACATCTTCATTTCTGCCACTTCCAGTTCTTTCTCCTGTCTTTTTGTCCATGACTCTGTCTCCAGATCATACAACATAGCTGGTCTCACTACTGTCATTTAAACTTTTTTACTTTTTTTTACCACACTCCCCATGTTCCTGGACAGTGGACCCCAAGTCCTTGAAGTCCTGCACCTTTGTGACCTCTGCTCCTTGTAGTCTCACTGTTCCACCTCCTCCCTCTCATTCACACACATGGACCCTGTCTTACTATGGCTGACTTTCATTCCTCTTCTTTCAAGTGCATAACTCCACCTCTCCAAGTTCTCTTCCACATGTTCCCTGTTCTCACCACAGATCACGTCATCTGCAAACATCATCGTCCATGGGGATTCCTGCCTGACCTTATCTGTTAGTCGGTCCATCACCAGAGCAAACAAGAAGGGGCTCAGAGCTGATCCTTGATGCATTCCCACCTCCACCTTAAGCTATCTGTCACTCCTACTGCACACCTCCCCACTGTCCTGATACATGTCCTGTACCAGTCTAAACTACTTCTCTGCCACTCCAGATTTCCTCATGTAACACCACACCTCCTCCCTCGGCACTCTGTCATATGCTTTTTCTAAATCCACAAAGACACAATGGAGTTCTTTCTGACCCTCTCTGTACTTCTCCATCATCATCCTCAAAGCAAAGCTGGATCTGTGGTGCTCTTTCTCAACATAATACCATACTGCTGCTCAGTCACCTCTCGTCTAAGTCTTGCTTCCACAACTCTCTCCCAGACCTTCATTGTGTGGCTCATCATCTTAGTTCCCCTGTAGTTGCTACAACTCTACATCACCCTTGTTCTTAAAAATGGCCACCAGCACACTTCTTCTCCATTCCTGAGGCATTTTCTCACCCTCAAATATGCCATTGAATATTTGAGTCAAAAACCTCACTACCATCTCTCCAAGACATTTCCAGACCTCCACTGGTCATCAGGTCCTACTGCCTTCCCCTTCTTCATTCTTTTCAGAGCTTTCCAGACTTCACCCTCACTAATCTTTCCCACTTCCTGGTCCACTGTTTCTATAACCTCTACTCTTCTTTGTCTTTCATTCTCTTCATTCATTAGCTCCTCAAAGTACTCTTTCCATCTTCCCATCACACTCTCCTCACTGGTTAGAACATTACCATTCCTGTCTTTAACAAGCCTAACCTGCTGCACATCCTTTCCAGCCTGATCCTTCTGTCTCTTCAATCAGTACAAGTCCTTCTCACCCTCTTTAGTGTCCAGTCTCCCATACAACTCATCATACACCTTCTGCTTTGCCTTAGCTACCTCCCTCTATATCCTGATGCATGCTCAATAATCCAGGTAGAAAAATCCAAGAAAGTTCAATCTGGTCCTCTGGACATTAAAAAAAAACAAACAAAAAAAAAAACAAAGCAAAAAAAAAAAAAATGTAGAAACGTTTCGTCTCTCATCCAAGAGACTTCCTCAGTCTGAGCTGCTGTTTTCAGCTCAGTCTCTTAAATAGCACCTTCTCAATTGGGTTCAATTGTCCCCCTCTTACAATGCTGTGATTGCTGGTATCACTCAACCCTCTTTGAATAGTAAACAGCCATCAGTGTGCTAATGATCCATTGTTAGGCTGATGGTCCTTCTTGAGCATGTGATCAGTTGGTTTTGGTTGTCAGCAGCAAAACTGGCTGATCCACTCTGAGAAGGTGCTATTTAAGAGACTGAGCTGAAAACAGCACCTCAGACTGAGGAAGTCTCTTGGATGAGAGACGAAACGTTTCTACATTTTTTTTTTTTTTTTCTTTGTTTTTTTTTTTTTTTTTTTTGAATGTCCAGAGGACCAGATTGAACTTTCTTGGATAGCTCCCTCTATGTTCTACGTCCCATCTCCTTATATTCCTGTCTCTTCTCTTCAGTCCTTTCTCTGTCATATTTCTTCTTTGCTAACCTCTTTCTTTGAACATCTTCCTGCACTTCACTGTTCCACCACCATGTTTCCTTATCATCCATTCTCTGTCCAGATGACACACCAAGTACCTTCCTACCTGTCTCTCTAATTACTGTTGCTGTAGTAGTCCAGTCATCTGGAAGCTCTTTCTTACCACCCAGAGCCTTTAACAGCTCCTCTCTGAATTTCTCACAACATTCTTCCTTCTTCATCTTCCATCATTTGGTCTTCTTCTCTGATTTTACTCTTTTTCTCTTCTCCACAACAACAGTCATTCTACACACAACCATCCGATGCTGTCTGGCCACGCTCTCCCCTGCCACAACCTTACAGTCTCCAATCTCCCTCAGGTTTCCTTTTCTTCACAGAATGTAGTCGACCTGCGTACTCCTTCCTCCACTCTTATAGCTCACTCTATGTTCCTCCCTCTTTTGGAAATAGGTGTTGACTATAGCCATTTCCATTCTCTTGGTAAAATCCACCATCATCTGTCCTTCCTGGTTTCTTTCCTTGACAACAAACCTTCCCATCACTTCCTCATCCTCTGTTTCCTTCACCAACATGTCCATTCAGGTCTGCTCCCATCACCACTCTCTCCTCCCTGGGAATAATCTCTATCACTTAATCCAGATCTTTCCAAAATGTATCTTTCTCCTCCACATCACATCCAACCTGTGGAGCATAACCATTGACAACATTTAGCATCAGACCTTCTACTTCTACCTTCAGACACATCATCCTATCTGACACTCTCTTCACCTCTACTACATTCTTTGCCAACTCCTCCTTCAGGACAACCTCTACTCCATTTCTCTTTCTATCCACACCATGGTAAAATAGTTTGAACCCTGCTCCAATGCTGCGAGCCTTTCTGCCCTTCCACTTGGTTTCTTGGACATATAAAACATCTACCTTCCTTCTCAGCATCATGTCAGCCAGGTCTCTACCTTTGCCTATCATTGTCCCCACATTTAGAGTTGCAACCCTCAGTCCTACATTCTTCATTTTCCTCTTCTCCCTCTGTATCCTGACACGTTTCCCTCCTCGTGATCTTCAACTAACAGCACAATTTCTAGCACCCTATTTGTCAACAGCACCGGTTGCGGTCGTTGTTAAGTGGGACCTCGACCGATCCTTTATTTTTAATCTGTCTATACAACATAATACTGTCCCAGATGCTTGGAAAACAGCTGTTGTGTTGCCATTATTGAAGAGAGGAGACCCCATTATACTGAATAATTATCCACCAATCTCCACACTCTGTATTTTAGCTAAAGTTTTAGAAAAATTATAAATACTCAAGTCAAAAAGTGTTTGGACTCTTTAATTTTTTATATTCTCTCTAATCTGGCTTCAGGAAACAATACAACAACTGCTTCGCTAAAGGTTTTTAATGATTTTGTTGAAACTTTGGACACTAAGGATTACTGAGCTGCACTTTACTTAGACCTGTCCAAACCTTTGATATTGTAGATCATCACATCTTCTGACACAAGCTCTCAGATACCGTCTTCTCAGATCACACTGTTGGTTGGTTCTCAAACGATCTCTCAATATGTTTGACACAATGGTACTTCATCTATCTACCTAACGGTCACAAATGGTGTGCCACAAGGCTCAGTTTTAGGTCCCACTCTCTTTACAGTTTATATAAATAATGTAGGTCAAAACATTCCTGATACATCCTTGCATCTTTATGCAGACGATGCAGCTGTTTATTGCCGAGCTAACACAGTTGCCAAGATTTTCCAGCTTCTACAGTCTGCATCTGACATCATCCAGTCAGACTTATTCCATCTCAAACTGGTGCTAAATGCTGACAAAACCAAAGGGATGTTGTTTTCCGACAGAAAGTCGGTGCCAGCAACTCTTCCTCCTCTCTCATCCATGCATCTTGTTCCTATTGAGTTTGTAGATTCTTATAAATACTTGGGAATTTGACTTGATGCACATCTCTCTTTTAAGCTACATGTTGAAAAATTGATAAAGAAACTGAAATTAAAACTGGGTTTCTTTTTCAGAAATAGATCTTGCTTAACTTATATCTCCTCCCACATGTCACGTCATCAGTGCTGTTACAACATGCACTCTCAGGCCATCATTACCTGCAGTTTCCCCTTAGTACGGACTGAACTTGTTTAAGGCCTTTTCTTACTCAGCTCGTGCAACCTGGAACACCTTGCAAAAAGACCTGAAGCTGACCACTTTGATCTCATGGAGATATTAAACGTTTGATAAGGTCATTAAAAAATCAAAGCAAATATGTTCTGTTTTGAGTAGGGATGGGGCCGATCCAATCCGGTATCGTATCAGGCTCTGATACCAGCATAATTTACGTATCTGATTTTTCCGATCCAACCTGCAGAGATATCTGATCCATGAAACATGTCTGTGTCTGCTGAAACTTCTCCACATGTGATTTCCTGCCAACTGCTCTGCAAGTTGGCTTCAAACTATGGAATGGATTTCCTGAACGGAGGCGTGTCTCACGAACCCAGAGTAATAAGACCCTCCTTACATTCAGGAAATCCAGTTCATAGTTTGCAGCCAGCTACAACGTGCAGTAGCACTGTGGCCAATGGCTAACCAACTTTTCATCTAAACATGTCCGCAGTGTGGAAGTATTTTACAGTAGAAACACCACAAAACAAGATAGCAACGTGCAATGTCTGCAGAGCCATAGCACCACATTAAACCATGGTAAAGTTAGTTTTACGTTGGACATTCGAGCTCCGTGGCTTCAGCGGCTCACTCCTCTCGCTTAATCCAAAGCAGGCAGTCCAACCCAGCCACGCCCAATATGCCCCACTTGGTCTGCCCGTCTCGGAGGAGGAGCAGACTGAGGGCGGCTGACCAAAATCAGAGTGCTTGG